TCTCTGATGTAGAATACGGGTAATCCTCGACTTACAAGAGTTCGTTTAGTCATCGTTCTAGTCACAACGGCACTGAGAAATGGGACTTATGACCGTTTTTCACAGTTTCGACTTTTCTAGCATCCCCAGGATCGTGTGATCAAAATTCGGTTTCTTGGCAACTGGTTCATATTGATGACCTTTGCTGTGTCCCGGGGTCATGGGATCCCCTTTGGTGACCTTCTGATTGTCTAGCAGTGTTTCTCAACCTTGACGGGTTGAAAATGGGTGGACTTCCATTCCCAGCTTTGCTGGCTGGGGAATTCTGGGAGTTGAAGTCCACTCATCTCCAAACCATCAAGTTTTGAGGAAAAACGTCGGTCCAGCATTTGAAACCTCCTGGAAAAAGTGGTGCCTATTGTCCATATTTTTTTCAAATGGAGGAAAGGAAAAATCCAGAGAACTAGCTGACAAAAGATCCTCAACGAGATTCCGGAGCAGAAATTCTGAGATCAGCCTAGTAATTACCCCAAGCCTGCTCAAATTTCCAAGAATTACTCTTTTTCTCACTACTGTGATCTGGTTCACTTCCTTCAGACTGAGGGAAATGCTATAAACCTGTGATGGATACTTAGCCTGCGATGGAGCACTTGACAGGATTATTAGCAGATTAATTAAGTGTGGAGCGGATGGCTTGACAATTAAGCAGATAAGTAATTGTGATGAGATGTGTGTTTAAAGGCTACTCATTTCAAACGAGAGAGGTAGCCAGCAGGGCCCCTGCAAAGTACCAGTCCTGGGTGCAAGAGGCAGATCTGGGTGCTGTTGCAAGGTGTGTGAGATGGATTTAATTTAAAACGCCATCAATCAATCATTCAATTAATCAGTGGAACGACTGGCCTCCAGAAGTTGCGGGTGCTTCTGGAGACTTTTAAGAAATTGGACAAGCGTTTGTCTGGAATGGCATCGGGTCGCCTGCTTGAGCAAGGGGTGGGACTAGAAGACCTCCAAGGTCCCTTCCAACTGTGATTCTTTATTCTAAATACTAACCTAAGGCAGTTCCCAATGCAACTTTTGAAACAAATTTTAAAAAGAGCTTTCAACACTGGGTGCAATTGTTGATGCCTTCAGAGCTCCATAATAATAATAATAATAAAGTTGGAAGGGACCTTGGAGGTCATCTAGTCCAACCCCCTACTCAGACAGGAAACCCTATACCATTTCGGACAAATGGCTGTCCAGTCTCTTCTTGAAAACTTCCATTGTTGGAGCATTCACCACTTCTGGAGGCAGGTTGTTCCACTGGTTAATTGTTCTCACTGTCAGGAAGTTTCTCCTTAGTTCTAGCTTGCTTCTCTCCTTGATTAGTTTCCATCCGTTGCTTCTTGTCCTGCCTTCAGGCGCTTTGGAGAATAGCTTGACTCCCTCTTCTTTGGGACAGCCCCTGAGATATTGGAAGGCTGCTATCATGTCCCCCCTCGTCCTTCTCTTCATTAAACTAGATATATCTAATTCCAGCATCCTTTCCTTATATGCTTTAGCCTCCAGTCCCCTAATCATCTTTGTTGCTCTTCTCTGTACTCTTTCTAGAGTCTCAACATCTTTTTTACATCGTGGTGACCAAAACTGGATGCAGGATTCCAAGTGTGGCCTTACCAAGGCCTTGTAAAGTGGTATTAACACTTCACGTGATCTTGATTCTATCCCTCTGTTAATGCAGCCCAGCACTGTGTTGGCTTTTTTGGCAGCTGCAGCACACGGCTGGCTCCTATTTAAAGGATTGTCCACTAGGACTCCGAGATCCCTCTCACAGTTACTACTACTGAGCAAGGTACCCCCTACTATACCTGTACATTTGGTTTTTCTTGCCTAAATGTAGAACCTTACTTTCATGGTTTTCTTGCAGACATTTCATTACCAAACTAGGTAACATCGTCAGTGCCAGAAGGAGTGGGAATTTGAAATAACCAAATTTAAAATAACAACCAGCCTACAGGGCCAATTTTATACAAAACTGGGGATGCATGAGGAAGACAGATTTTTTCCCCCCTAAAGCCAGCTATTCCTTGCTCAAAGCCTCTAGCATCAACTAGGAAACATTAAAACTCAGACAACTATGGTTATTTCAGGGAAGAGGCGTGCTAATTCATTGCAGCATTTGTTAGCGATGATGCTTTTATTACCGTATTGATTGTTTGGCCTAAAACTTTGGGAGGACAAGTGGGGCAGACACAGCATGCATGTGCATTTAAAACTCACAACCTGTGAAAATCTCATGGAGTGTGACGGCAGGGACAATCGTAAATAAAACCCAAGCAGAAAATCGTGATAAGAAACAGTTCCAATGATGGCTAACAGAGGAGCCCAGTGGATTAAAAAGATCCTTTTTATAGCTTACTGCTTTCTTAGGCAAAAGAACAGAATAGCTATAAGATGGCTTGTTGTCGTTCTTTGGCACACTTTGAAACAGATACGAGATTGGACAGCCATTCGTCCAGAATGGTAGAGGGTCTCCTGCTTGAGTAGGGGTTAGACTAGAAGACCTCCAAGGTCCCTTCCAATTCTGTTATTCTGTATTCAGATGTAACTTCCAAAAGACTGACAAGAGCCAAAAGTGCTCCCAAACGCTCAAGCCTAACTCCTCTTGATTAAATCATGGGGTAACGCAAGAGAAAGTCAACAATTCTTTGATAACAAGACTATGGACTATGCTACTCATGGACACAGAAGCAGATGACTCTTCCACGGTCAAGCAGGAGCCGTTGACTGTCTTCGTGGGGGTCAACGCTGGCCTGATGCTTGGGCCAGGAGGAGCCTACAGCTATTATGAAGTGCTGGGCATCATATATATTCTCTTCGTATATACATACACATACACTGTATATATTTTGTGTGTGTCAATCAATACACAGTATAATGTATATAGTATATGTTTATCCTGCCATTATGACTCTATAAGTAAGATGGGAAATACACATAATAGTCCTTCCTCTTATTTTTCCCCATAACAACCCTGTGAGGTGGGTTGGGCTGAGAGACCAGCTCAAAGTCACCCAGCTGCTTTTGATGCCTAAGGAAGCACTAGAATTCACCACCTCCTGGTGACTGACCAAAATCTGCCCCGGTTATTTTTGTGCCTAAGGTAGAACTAGAACTCACAATTTCCAGGTGATTGGCCCAAAGTCAGCCAATTGGCTTTCATGCTTAAGGCAGGACGAGAACTCAGTCTCTTGGCGATTGGCCCAAAGTCACCCAGTTGCTCTCGTGCCTAAGGGAGAACTAGAATTCACCATCTCCTGATGATTGGCCCAACTCTTTATATAGTATATATGCAAACTACCTATAAACTGCACAAACATGCATAGCCAGTTGCCTTTCATGCCTAAGCCGGAACTAGAACTCACCATCTCCTGGTGATTGGCCCAAAGTAACCCAGTTGGCTTTCATGCCTAAGGCAGAGCTAGAACTTACCGTCTCCTGGTGAATGGCCCAAAGTCATCTAGTTGGCTTTCATGCTACAACTGGAACTAGAACTCACCATCTCCTGGTGACTGGCCCAAACTTATCTAGTTGGCTTTCATGCTACAGCTGGAATTAGAACTCACCATCTCCCTGTGATTGGCCCAAAGTCACCCAGTTACCTTCCACGCCTAAGGCAGAACTAGAACTCACTGTCTCCTGGTGATTGGCCCAAAGTTACCCAGTTGGCTTTCATGCCACAGCTGGAACTAGAACTCACCATCTCCCTGTGATTGGCCCAAAGTCACCCAGTTGCCTTCCACGCCTAAGGCAGAACTAGAACTCACCATCTCCCTGTGATTGGCCCAAAGTCACCCAGTTGCCTTCCACGCCTAAGGCAGAACTAGAACTCACCGTCTCCTGGTGATTGGCCCAAAGTCATCTAGTTGGCTTTCATGCTACAACTGGAACTAGAATTCACTGTCTCCTGGTGATTGGCCCAAAGTCACCCAGCTGGCTTTCATGCCTAAGGCAGAACTAGAACTCACCATCTCCTGGTGACTGGCCCAAAGCTATCTAGTTGGCTTTCATGCTACAGCTGGAACTAGAACTCACCATCTCCTGGTGATTGGCCCAAAGTCACCCAGTTGACTTTCATGCCTAAGGCAGAACTAGAACTCACCATCTCCTGGTGATTGGCCCAAAGTCATCTAGTTGGCTTTCATGCCTCAGCTGGAACTAGAACTCACCATCTCCCTGTGATTGGCCCAAAGTTACCCAGTTGGCTTTCATGCCACAGCTGGAACTAGAACTCACCATCTCCCTGTGATTGGCCCAAAGTCACCCAGTTGCCTTCCACACCTAAGGCAGAACTAGAACTCACGGTCTCCTGGTTTCTAGGCCAGCATCCTAACCACTACACCCAATGGGCTGTAACACCCACACCTGCGCCCATATAAAGAACTCCATATACTAGTATACGTGCAACCCCCCCCATAAACTGCACAAACATGGACACAAACACAAGGCACAAGAGCGAGCAACCGCATCCGGCACCTGCACGCACATCCACGGGGGGGGGGGAAGAGATCTTTGCATCCTCGCACGGAAAACACGCGTGACCGAGAGAATGCACGCCGAAGAGACGCATTCCCACGCCTTCCCTTATTGCACCCCCCCGCACGAAACGTGCAGGCTATTCACGGGGTTTGCAGAACAACCTGCAGGTTTGCACAAAAAAAAAGGGGGGGCGACCCACCCCTCCCCTCCTGCTGCCAATGGGGGGGGCAGAGCCCCAAAGGTTCCCCCCTCCCACTTTTATCAGAGCTCCCCATGGAGCAGAGGGGGGTTGCCTGCCCCCCCCCGCGAAGGAGTCACGTGGAGGGCTCGCTCCGAGGGAGGAGAGGGGAGACGCCCCCCGCCACGAGGGAGGGGGGAGGGCGCGGTTGCTAGGCGACGGCTCTTCCCATTCCACCCCCGCCCGCTCGCCCGCCCGCTCGCTCGCCCGCCCGCCCGCCAGCCCGTCCACCCGTCCGCGTTTCCCTCGCGGCTTTCTCACCCACCCGGGCCGGCCAGTGCGGGTAGCCCTTCATCTTGGCGAACACCAGGTCTCCAGCCTTGAAGCCGTGCGGCATCGCGGCGACGGGCGAGCAAGGCCCCGGCCAGGCCTCAGGCTTCGCCAGGCAACCCGGGAGGGGCGTGGCCGCCGGCCTGAAGGGGAAGGAGGGCGGGATCCGCGTTTGGCGGCGCCTCATTGGTCCGCGCCGGTGTCGTTTCGGCGCCGCCGCCGCCCGGCCGGAGCAGCTGATTGGCTGGCGGCGGGTCGGCACGCGCGACTCGCGCTCCCTGACCGCCGGCCAATCGGAGCCCGCGGAGGGAAGAAGGGGGCGGGAGCGGTTGCGGCGAAAGAGGACGGGATTGGGCAGTAGCGGCGGGGGGGGGGGAAAGAACGGCAGGGTGGGCAAAGGGCGGGGCTGAAGGAGAGGCGGAGGGGGCGGAGCGTCTTGGGTGGAACTCTGCACATGCTCGGCAGCCCTGGTTTTGCAAAGCAGCATTTTCAGGGGCAGTAAAATCTACAGGTGGTCCCTGACTTGCAACAGTTCGTTTAGTGTCTGTTGGAAGTCACAACGGCGCTGGAAAAAAGTGACAATATTTTTCACACTTATGACCGTTGCAGCGTCCCCCTGGTCATGTGATTTACATTTGGATACTCGGCCGCTGGTTCATATTTATGACGGGGTCACGTGATCCCCTTTTGCAACCTTCTGACAAAGTCAATGGGGGAAGGCCAGATTCACTTAACAACGGTGTTACTCACTTAACAACTGCAATAATTCCCTCAACAACTGTGGCAAGGGATGTCGTAAAATGGGGCAAAAGTCACTTAAATGCCTCACTTAGCAACATAAATCCTTGGGCTTAGTTGTGGTCATAAGTTGAGGATTATCTGAGTGGCTGCTAAAAGTTGATCCCAAACTTATGGCATGTAATTAGCTATAAGGAAGGGGTGCACCCCATGCAGGCAGAAGAGCAGGCCCCCTCTGCCCCTGGTGCACAACACCCCTGTGAGGGAGGCCAGTCAGAGAAGCCTACCCTTTCTGCCCCAAGTGGGATGTGTAGGCCTTGCCTTTCCCAACCTGGTAGCCTCAAGAAGATTGGATCCCCCCCTCCAATTGGATCCCCCCCTAGTGCTTAGGTTGAATCTATAATAATAATAATAATAATAATAATAATAATAATAATAATAATAATAATAATAATAATAATAATAATAATAATAATAATAATAATAATAATAATAATAATAATAATAATAATAATAATAAAGTTGGAAGGGATCTTGGAGGTCATCTAGTCCAACCCCTACTCAGGCAGGAAACCCTATAACATTTCAGACAAATGCCTGTCCAGTCTCTTCTTAAAAACTTCCAGTGTGGGAGCATTCACCGCTTCTGGAGGCAGGTAGTTCCACTGGTTAATTGTTCTCACTGTCAGGAAGTTTCTCCTTAGTTCTAGGTTGCTTCTCTCCTTGATTAGTTTCCACCCGTTGCTTCTTGTCCTGCCTTCAGGCGCTTTGGAGAATAGCTTGACTTCCTCTTCTTTGGGGCAGCCCCTCAAATATCAGAAGACTGCTATCCTGTCCCCCCTCGTCCTTCTCTTCGTTAAACTAGATATACCCAATTCCAGCAGCCTTTCCTTCTATGCTTTAGCCTCCAGTCCCCTAATCATCTTTGAATCTGGCAGATTACGGGAGATGTAGTCCAGCCTCCCGGTAATCCTGGCCCATGAGTAATCTAGGCCCGACCAATGTCTGTAGTGAGAGCTGCCTTGCTGCTCACGGACCCCAAGGGTGCAAAATTGATAATGGCTTCTCCTGGTGGCCTCCACACCCATTGCAAACTTGCTCCGGGCTATGAAAAGGACGTTTTCCTTTGCTTACCCAGGAGGTGGCAAAGGAGAGGAAAAACAAAGCCCGGGAAATAATTGACTTTGGCATTGCCCAACCGGTTTCACGGCTTCCTTCCCTCTTCCCTCCAGATGGGATCGACCTAATTAAATAAACTGCTGTTTGCGGGCTGAGCCCGTCTCCCTGGCACGCGAACTGGAACAGCCAAGCTCGGATCTCATGCCAGGCAGGCACCAAACAAGCCACATTGGGAGACTGGCATCTGGGCACATAGCCTCCTGTTACCCTTCTTCCAATTATGCCTCTTTAAAACTAAGAAGAAAAACAGCAACGCAACTGGGAAAATAAAAAAAGAAAATGGATGTACAGGTAGTCCTCAACTTACGACCACAATTGAGCCTGTTTCTGTTGCTAAGTGAGGCACTTGATAAGTGAGTTTTGCCTCCATTTTACGATCTTCCTTGCCACAGTTGTGAAGAGAATCACTGCAGTCGTTAAGTCAGTCACACGGTTGTTAAGTAAATCTGGTTTCCCCCATTGACTTTGCTTATCTGAAGGTCGGAAAAGGGGATCACATGACCCCGGGGGTGCTGCGGCCGTCGTAAATAAGAACCAGTTGCCAAGCATCCCAATTTTGATCACGGGACCATGAGGATGCTGCAACAATCCTAAATGTGAAAAACTTTAAGTCAAATTTTTCCAGTGCTGTTGTAACTTTGAACGGTCATTAAACGGACTGTTGTAAGTCGAGGATTACCTGTATTTTTAATCATAGGGAGGATTTTGAGCTTCCCACCTTTGAACAGAATGAGTGCACTTTTTCCAAAGTCTCAACATCTTTTTTGTAATGTGATGACTAGTGCAAAGACATAAACCAATTAGACCTGCATCATGGATGAAATATATAAAATACATTTATTTTCTACCCCAATCATATCTATCTATCTATCTATCTCTATTTATCTTACACGTATCTACTAACATACAATTTTATTTTAAATATTTTAAGTTTCTGATCTCTATACCTATCATCTATCATCTGTCTGTCTCTCTATTTATCATCTATCTCTACTCTTCATCCATCCATCCCTCCATCTACCAATAATCTCTATCCATCCACCTACCTACCTATAATCTATCTATCTATCAATCCACCTACCTATCTATCCATCCATCCATCTACCTACCTATAATCAATCAATCAATCAATCAATCAATCTATCTATCTATCTATCTATCTATCTATCTATGTCTATCTATCTATCTATCTATCTATCTATCTATCTATCTATCTATCTATCTATCTATCTATCTATCTATCTATCTATCTTACCAATAATCTCTATCCATCCATCCACCTACCTATAATCTATCCATCTACCTATATATCTATCCATCCATCCATCCATCCACCTATCTATAATCAATCTATCTATATCTACCTACCTACCTATAATCTATCTATCTATCTATCTACACCAGGACTATCTATCTATCTATCTATCTATCTATCTATCTATCTTACCAATAATCTCTATCCATCCATCCACCTACCTATAATCTATCCATCTACCTATATATCTATCCATCCATCCATCCATCCACCTATCTATAATCAATCTATCTATATCTACCTACCTACCTATAATCTATCTATCTATCTATCTATCTATCTATCTATCTATCTATCTATCTATCTATCTATCTATCTATCTATCTATCTATCTACACCAGGACTATCTATCTATCTATCTATCTATCTATCTATCTATCTATCTATCTATCTATCTACCTACCTACCTACCTACCTACCTATCTACACCAGGACTAACTAACTATCTATCTATCTATCTATCTATCTATCTATCTATCTATCTATCTACCTATCTATCTATCTATCTAGGTCTATCTGTCTATCATCTAGGTCTATCTATCTATCTATCTATCTATCTATCTATCTATCTATCTATCTATCTATCAATAATCTCTATCCATCCATCTACCTACCTATAATCTATCCATCTATCTACCTATACATCTATCGATCCATCCATCCACCTACCTATAATCAATCAATCAATCAATCAATCAATCTATATCTACCTACCTACCTATAATCAATCAATCAATCTATCAATCTATCAATCTATCAATCTATCTATCTATCAATAAACTTTATCCATCTACCTACCTATACTCTATCTATCCATCCACCTACCTATAATCAATCTATCCACCCATCCATCCACCTACCTATAATCTATCTTTTTATCTATCTAAAATACATAAACATAAACGTACACATATAGATGTATAGATATAGATTAGATACATATACAGCCACAATCTTATTCCCCTGCTCCACAGGTTGTATTTAAAGGGAACTAGGAAGCAAAGCATTCATAAATACATAATACCAAATGTTATTTAATATTATTCACTAAGTTTTAGCATCACTCGTTAACAACATTTTACCAAATAAAAGTAGAACGAGAAAGGAAACGAGTGGGGAAAAAAAAAAACGCCCGGCGTTTTATTTGCTGTTCTTTAATGAGCTTTTGAGGGAACCCATAGAGAAGGACCTCCTCTTGCCTAGAGCGCCACCCTAGACCTGTGACCGGCCGCGCATTCGCCTCTTGGCCATCCAATCAGCGCAGCTTCCTGTCCATCGACAACCCCGCCCCACCCCTCGGTCGGCGACTTCCGCCTTACAGAGCGTGCCGCACGCGCCGCGAGGGTTCCCTTCCATTCGCCCTGTCGCCGCTCCGAGTCAAGATGGCGTCAGATGCGGCGTCGGCACGTGACCGGAAGCTAGATTGTTTGTTTTTCTTCTCGGGCTTCCGCTTCCTGTTTTCGCTGCTGCTATTTAATTCTCCGTCCGCCCGCCCGCTTTTTGCCTTTGCCAGGTCGGCTGAGCTCTTTTCGGGTGGGCTTCGGAGGCCGCGAGCGGGAGGCGGTCATGAAGAAGTTCTTCCAGGAAATCAAAGCGGATTTGAAGTTTAAGACGGCCGGCCCGGGCCAGAAACTCACCGAGTCGCCTAGGTAACGGCCCCGCCCATTCTAAAGAGAGGGAAGGTCCCGGTCGGTTCCCCAACCTGGCGCCCTCGGAGGGGGTTGGGTTCTAATAGCAGGGGTTTTCAAACTTGGCCCTTTTATGACTTGTGGACTTCAACTCCCAGAATTCCTCAGCCAGGCACGCTGGCTGAGGAATTCTGGGAGTTGAAGTCCACTCCTTAAAGTCTATATCAAGGGTCTTCCAACTTGGCCCTTTTATGACTTGTGGACTTCAACTCCCAGAATTCCTCAGCCAGGCACACGTGCCTGGCTGAGGAATTCTGGGAATTGAAGTCCACAAGTCATAAAAGGGCCAAGTTTGAAGACCCCTGTTCTATAGAGATCCCCCCCTGCTCCTTTCCCAGCCCTGGGAGTTGGGGTCCCTCCAACCACAGGTGTAGAGGAGAAACTGAGTAGAAAGGATTAGGGGAGGGGAGGGATTTATAGGGCAGGGTGGAAGATCCCCCTTGAGGTCATCCAGTCCAGCCCTCCACCACCCAGTGAAGCTACCCAGATTGGGCTGTGCGGCCCCTTTTTGAAACGCATCCGAGGAAAGGAAGCTGCCACTGATTCTGCTCCTGACCTCATTTTTTTCCCATGACTCACACTTTAATCTGGCTAATATTAGAAGTAAAAACTGAACCCAGGAAGCCTCTTGGGTNACAAACAACACAACACAACATTTCCCCTATAAAAGCCAATTAAAACCAAATATTTATAGTCTGTGACATTATTAAAATCATTAAAAATTATCCCTATTTAAAATTCACCCTAGGTCAGTCCCGCTTGCTGAAAAAGCCATGTCTTGAGGGCGCGGCGGAAGGTTAGGAGATCCGGGATTATCCGGATCTCGGGGGGTAGTGCAAAGACATAAACCAATTAGACCTGCATCATGGATGAAATATATAAAATACATTTATTTTCTACCCCAATCATATCTATCTATCTATCTATCTATCTATCTATCTATCTATCTATCTCTATTTATCTTACACGTATCTACTAACATACAATTTTATTTTAAATATTTTAAGTTTCTGATCTCTATACCTATCATCTATCATCTGTCTATGTCTCTCTATTTATCATCTATCTCTACTCTTCATCCATCCATCCCTCCATCTACCAATAATCTCTATCCATCCACCTACCTACCTATAATCTATCTATCTATCCATCCACCTATCTATCCATCCATCCATCTACCTACCTATAATCAATCAATCTATCTATCTATCTATGTCTATCTATCTATCTATCTATCTATCTATCTATCTATCTATCTATCTATCTATCTATCTATCTTACCAATAATCTCTATCCATCCACCTACCTATAATCTATCCATCTATCTACCTATATATCTATCCATCCATCCATCCATCCACCTATCTATAATCAATCTATCTATATCTACCTACCTACCTATAATCTATCTATCTATCTATCTATCTATCTATCTATCTATCTATCTACACCAGGACTATCTATCTATCTATCTATCTATCTACCTACCTACCTATCTACACCAGGACTATCTATCTATCTATCTATCTATCTATCTATCTATCTATCTATCTATCTATCTATCTATCTATCTATCTATCTATCTATCTACCTACCTACCTATCTATCTATCTATCTATCTATCTATCTAGGTCTATCTGTCTATCATCTAGGTCTATCTATCCATCTATCTATCTATCTATCTATCTATCTATCTATCTATCTATCTATCTATCTATCTATCTATCTATCTATCTATCTATCTATCAATAATCTCTATCCATCTACCTACCTATAATCTATCCATCTATCTACCTATATATCTATCGATCCATCCATCCACCTACCTATAATCAATCAATCAATCTATCTATATCTACCTACCTACCTATAATCAATCAATCAATCAATCAATCAATCAATCAATCTATCTATCTATCTATCTCTCTATCAATAATCTTTATCCATCTACCTACCTATACTCTATCTATCCATCCACCTACCTATAATCAATCTATCCACCCATCCATCCACCTACCTATAATCTATCTTTTTATCTATCTAAAATACATAAACATAAACGTACACATATAGATGTATAGATATAGATTAGATACATATACAGCCACAATCTTATTCCCCTGCTCCACAGGTTGTATTTAAAGGGAACTAGGAAGCAAAGCATTCATAAATACATAATACCAAATGTTATTTAATATTATTCACTAAGTTTTAGCATCACTCGTTAACAACATTTTACCAAATAAAAGTAGAACGAGAAAGGAAACGAGTGGGGAAAAAAAAAACGCCCGGCGTTTTATTTGCTGTTCTTTAATGAGCTTTTGAGGGAACCCATAGAGAAGGACCTCCTCTTGCCTAGAGCGCCACCCTAGACCTGTGACCGGCCGCGCATTCGCCTCTTGGCCATCCAATCAGCGCAGCTTCCTGTCCATCGACAACCCCGCCCCACCCCTCGGTCGGCGACTTCCGCCTTACAGAGCGTGCCGCACGCGCCGCGAGGGTCCCTTCCATTCCCCCTGTCGCCGCTCCGAGTCAAGATGGCGTCAGACGCGGCGTCGGCACGTGACCGGAAGCTAGATTGTTTGTTTTTCTTCTCGGCCTTCCGCTTCCTGTTTTCGCTGCTGCTATTTAATTCTCCGTCCGCCCGCCCGCTTTTCGCCTTTGCCAGGTCGGCTGAGCTCTTTTCGGGTGGGCTTCGGAAGCCGCGGGCGGGAGGCGGCCATGAAGAAGTTCTTCCAGGAAATCAAAGCGGATTTGAAGTTCAAGACGGCCGGCCCGGGCCAGAAACTCACCGAGTCGCCTAGGTAACGGCCCCGCCCACTCTAAAGAGAGGGAAGGTCCCGGTCGGTTCCCCAACCTGGCGCCCTCGGAGGGGGTTGGGTTCTAATAGCAGGGGTCTTCAAACTTGGCCCTTTTATGACTTGTGGACTTCAACTCCCAGAATTCCTCAGCCAGGCACGCTGGCTGAGGAATTCTGGGAGTTGAAGTCCACTCCTTAAAGTCTATATCAAGGGTCTTCCAACTTGGCCCTTTTATGACTTGTGGACTTCAACTCCCAGAATTCCTCAGCCAGGCACACGTGCCTGGCTGAGGAATTCTGGGAATTGAAGTCCACAAGTCATAAAAGGGCCAAGTTTGAAGACCCCTGTTCTATAGAGATCCCCCCCTGCTCCTTTCCCAGCCCTGGGAGTTGGGGGTCCCTCCAACCACAGGTGTGGAGGGGAAACTGAATAGAAAGGATTAGGGGAGGGGAGGGATTTATAGGGCAGAGTGGAAGACCCCCCCTTGAGGTCATCCAGTCCAGCCCTCCACCACCCAGTGAAGCTACCCAGATTGGGCTGTGCGGCCCCTTTTTGAAACGCATCCGAGGAAAGGAAGCTGCCACTGATTCTGCTCCTGACCTCATTTTTTTCCCATGACTCACACTTTAATCTGGCTAATATTAGAAGTAAAAACTGAACCCAGGAAGCCTCTTGGGT